TTCATATTGCCAGTACTAACTTATTCCACATAACCTTGTGGGAAGATAAAAGTTACCATTTTGCTCGGATGTGTTGTAAGGATGAGGGTAAAATCAGCTATCTCCATAACAAAGAAGATGTGTCCGCAATGCCATCTGAAGTTGAATACCAAGACATAGCAGGGACAAAGTCTACAGATGTTGAAATCAACATAGAGCAATGCATGTTGCACCAGATTACAATATCCTAACAAATGTATGAAAACAATTAATTCCATGTGTTTCATGTTAGTGACATACACTGATTTATTAAAGGTTGATCAGAACAAGCTATAGCTACAACAAAACAAGAAGGATGCAACCAGGACAGAGAGAAACACCAGACAACACATGAGTCAGATTGAGGCTAAAAACTCACGTTCTTTTCCTACTGAACAAAAACAAATGAACTATGGCAGCTGTGTTCTCTGTCCCACATTTTATTATGATCGAAACACAAATACATATCTCTTATGCAATCCTGATTAAACCCATCTGAATGAATGCCGTTCCTAATGGACATCAGTACTTCAAGTCCCAGTTTCCCCTTACGCTGAGGCTCATATTTAATAAGTTATTATCCCCACAACACATAGAGTGTGGTAACAATAAGTCTTTTACTTTTAAATCCAGGCTGAAGACTTTTCTTTTTGCCGCTGCTTTTAATTTAACTATTCACATCTTAAACTGCACTGTAACTTTAATCCATGTATTTTTTCTTTTAATGTTTCTTTTATTAGCTTTTCTTTTTAATGACTGATTTTAAATGCCATTTTCTTAATGTCTTTAATTTTTTGTAAAGCACTTTGAATTGCCTTGTGTTGAAAGGTGCTATATAAATAAACTTGCCTTGCCTTCAGGGACCAAAATTGTGCTCTGGTTTGAAGAAATGTAGAGCAAGTTCACAACAACTATTCTCATAAACTATGTTAAAAATATTATTCCAGTAGTTGTTCAGTAATTTTGTATTCTGTCAATGTGAAGAATGATACCATTTTTAAGTTAATTATTCTTAGTTTCACAGAGAGAAGCTTTTATTAGAAATGTGAAGACACTCTTATAGATACATACATGTAGTTCGAATAGACGGATGAGAGTAAGATTGAATCAGTAAACTCCAAGTTCTATTCTCTTTTCTAACAAGTGTTCATTGTTCTCAGTTGGTATCCTCAAAACTCATAGTAGCCTGATTTAAAGATTGAAAAATGGTTGGAGCGGGACTGAATCACACTCCCGAGTAAACCTTTCTCTGCCCTATGATTTATGTGAACAGAGATCCTGTTTTTTTCTGACTCCAAGAATCTGCAGAGTCCCGAGGTGAAACAAGGATCTGATATATGGAAAACACACTCTGTCCTCACTTTAACAGCTTTGGTTTAAAGTGGGCTAAATATGGATGGTGGAACAACTAATCTGAAACACTATGACACTAGGAAGGATCAAGTATAATATAACGGAAAACCTCAAGGACAAATACATAAATACAAGCCTTGTCAATAAATCACTCAGCTGTTGAAAAGTTATGAGCTTTACCAGGACTGTAGAGAGTTCTTCCAGGAATCTGACAGCACTGTATGCATGAATGCTCTGCCTCGGGAGACAATTCTGAGATATCTGAGGTCATTTGCACTAAAGGAAGGCATGTTTCCCATAAATCACAACTTAGGGAGGCTGTTGAGTCAGACAAAGTTATGGGGTAAGCAATTATTAGTTCAGTTTGCCCTGTTGCTTCTTGCTTCTTTGTTCTTGTATTTGAATTACCTATTGAAGGGTGTAGAAGCTTCAATGTTGCCTCTGGATGGATCAACAAGGAAATTGTGATTGTGAGGTTGTGGATTACTCTCAGGCTAAAGTACATTAAGTTGTTTTACTGAAGTATAATTGTAGCTAAATTCTAATTTAGATAAGTTGTATCACTCTGTTTATACTTTCAGTCCATGGTGCTGAGTGCACTATAAAGTTTCCTGAGGCCAATAAAATACTTTCTGCACAAATTTTGTGCTTCTGAGTAAAGATCTGTCTTATACCATGTTTGATAAATCCCTAATCAGGAGTATGAGTTGGCTCAAATGTATCTTGCTATATTTGCGTGTTGAATGTTCTGTGTGTGTGAACCTAAAGAGGTCATTGCCTATACATGAAGACTATCAAGGAGAGGAGCTTCACTAATGACAAAGCCAGTGATGGAACATTCACTAACACATGCAAACATCGTTGGTTCTGTTTCCCAAGACAGTAAAATATCATTGGCAGGACAATTTGATGGTAAGGCCAAACATATTGGGTCGGCTACATAAACATCAAGAAAGCCAACAAGCAATCCAAGAGATTGAACAATAAAAAACATATTGAAGGTTTTGCTTGCAATAAATTAGAAAAACCTGTAGTAAACTTTATTTAGCGGCAAAGGTAAATCACTTTTTGTAATTAGTGAATTGTTTTTTGTGTTATGATGCAGAGTGCAGTTTAAATTGGAAAGCAGAAGCCCTTAAAGCGGTTAAACCATTGATATAAAATAACTCAGTTCAAGCATTGCTGAAACCAAGCATCTCTCAGAGAGAACAAAAAATCTATTCTCATCATGACAAGGTAGCTATGTGTGAGTAAATGAGTGTTGGAAAAAACGCATGAACCTGCTGACCTGCTGTGATAACTTGAAATGCATGGTAATACCGTTGCTAAGAATGATGTTTTTTTTACTCCCGTATCAGCATGGAGCATAATACAGAAGTAGGGATTTGTTTCAAGAGATAAGTGCACTAAAGCAAAGTCAGGAAAATAACCTTGTGTCACAATACAGCTTCCAACACAAAGATAAACTTTCCATGTAGGTGTGGCTCTGCTATATTTTCTTATCTTAAGGCTACGACTGATACCATCATTTCTAATTACAGGGTCTGAAAAACATGACAGTTAGAAATGTCATAAATTCTATGTTTGAATACAATGCCAGAAGCTGGAGTTAAAGATTGGCCTCTACACACCTACAAGTCTGTTTTAAAAGTTGTTTTCCATCATCAAATAAACCCTCAAGTTTACCATTAACACTGTGAATCCTAACATTGACAATCTGCTTACATTTTCCATAGAGCTTCAAACACTATTTAATTATCCCCTCCAGACAACACATTTTATTGTACGCGTTGTTACTTCACTTGGACAACTTTGCTGTGCAGAAAGATGTATGTGCAGCATATTAAACCATAAATCGGTGTTCAACTTGATCTGCCGAAGGGGGGAAGTTTCTGCTTTCACCTTAATCTGAGTTCAATGCATGTACATACGAGCAGGATTGTGCGTCATCACAAATAGCTTAGCAGTCAATAAAAGCCCAACATACAATCTACAAAAGGAGTTAACTCAAAGCTTCTGGAGCATACTGAATAGACCGGTGAAGTGAGGGACATCTTTACAACAGTTAGAATTTAGAAATAAGGTAGAAAAGTAGCTTGTTAATTTTACTTTAAAAAAATGTAAAAACATATTAAATGCAACTTGTTATTTAAAGCAGAGTATTATGTCCGCATCCATTTTTAAGCTGTTTCAACTCCCATATGATATTCTGTCCACTGTTTTAACTGAGTGACATGGAGTTGTTATGGACCTTAGCATTACTAGCATGTAGAAATGATAAATAACTAATTGCATAAAACATTGTACAGATGTTGTCACAATTAAGTCTCGCCAGTTTCTTTGAAGCTTGTCTTGAAAAAAGTATTTCTGTGGGATGAAACATGCTTGGCAACATGCATTTATGATGATGGATTTGCTGCAGTACGAAAGACTTATGTCAGGCTTGTCCTTAACAGAATCAAAAGAAAATGTCTTACTTTACAGAGAAAAAAACGTACTCAGAACATGTCACAACAAATCTCCCTTGTGTTAAAGATTTGATTAGTAAGCTTCCATAGAATATTTGATCGTTCACATTTCTGAGTGCAACTGTGAACTTTGCCTCCTTGCATCAGCGAAAAACCACTGAGCCAAGTCTTAGACTATCAGACCATCTATCAAGCTGGACCACTTTCTGATAGAGACGAAACAGCAGGCTGGAATTCTGGACAACAAAAGCACAGGGAATCCCATCTACGTGGCTCGCATAGCTCCCAGAAACTGCTGGAGAAACAGAAGGAAAGGGGAGTGTTGTTGGCTACAAGCTAACTGAAGTTTTATATGCAGCCCGCAATGAACAGGGATAATACTGAGAACCTGTAAATTATATTACTTGTGTAGCCAGGTGCAGTATATCGTTTTAAACATCATTCCTTGAAGTACCATAATTCAGAGTGTCCTTGGCTTCTTACTGTGCATTTGTTCATTAATCCACTCTGAGGAACTCTAACTTTAAAAAGCAACACTGTAAACGTGGATTCCTCCAGATATAAGCAACCACAAGGGACACATTTTTAACATCTGGTTTAGGTCAGAGAATAAATAATTAAGTAACTTTGTTAAAAGTGCCCTATCGCACCTATAAAGTTGGGGGAAATGTGAGGAAAAATAAGTTAGTAAGTAGTTAGAATCAGAATCAGAATACCTTTATTAGTCCCACAGAGGGGACATTTGCAGCGTTACAGCAGGAAAGAGCCACAGACAGCTTAGTGTTGCATATCTTACATGCATTAAAAAAAAAGTACTAAGTTATAATATAATAAACAAACAACACAACAATATGCTAAAAAAGTACTAACTTATAATATAATAAACAATATGCTAAAAAAAGATAAAAACTAAAAAAGTTACATAGTTACAAAAAAAACAAATCAAATCTACAAATCTTACAAGTTAGTTAGAATTCATGCAGCTGAGGCCAAAATATTCAAACTTTATAACCAAGCTCCAACAATGAATTAACCTACATTGGCCTCAGCTGCATGAATTCTAACTAACTTGTAAGATTTGTAGATTTGATNGAAAAAAATTCTGTAAAGGAAATCTATTAATAATATTATTATTATTATAAATCTAATAAATATATTTTATAGAAAATATAAAACAATTGATTTCCTTTACAGATGAGGTGATGTCGATGGATCAAAGTCTGCTCAGAATTATCCTGGAGAACCACATCTTGAAGAGTAAGGTCGTCTTGGGACAGCTGTTTAACGGTCAGCAGCTGGAAACTATTGGAGGAAGATTTCTGAGGGTCTTCATCTATCGCTCGGTGCGTCTCCTTTTAAGTTGTGCCCAAAAATTGTTGCTGGGTCTCACGAAACACAACCTACATTCACTCCATCTATAAATTACATAAGCGTCTTTATTATTATTTATTTATTATTATTATACTTTTTAAGATATTTTACCTGCGATATTTGACGCAATCGTCAGATCTTTGAAACATACTTTAACATTAATACCCTTGACTTGTGGACTATTTCTCCAGGCTGTGTGCATTGAGAATGCGTGTCTAATAAGAGGCAGTAAAGAAGGAAGCAACGGGGCCCTTCATCTCATGAGAACTCTGTTGAAACCAGCGGAAAACACTATGTTTCAGATTCTGACAGAAAACGGAGGGTTCAAGTAAGTACAGAGCATTTATATGGAAAAGTGACTGTGGTAGTCAAATGCAGCATAATTCTCAAACCACATCTTTCTGCATCTTTCCCTAAAACCCACATGGCACATATAGTAATGACAACATGCTGTCCTTAGTGGTTTCTGTAACAGCGTAATAACTGTGTTTTTCTCCTCGTTGCTGCAGGATCTTTTTGTCTCTAATGGAAGATGCTGGCTTAACCGACCTGCTGAAACAGGAGGGAGACTTTACTCTGTTTGCCCCAAGCGACAAAGCTTTTGCTGGCTTGAGCAGCAGTGATTTGTCCTTGTTAAGGAGTATGTCTCTATATAGTCCTTCTATCGTTTAATGTGTTAAACCACAACCACGGAATGCATGTTGCTAGTTTATGGTTTGCCATTTTTTTTTCAGGTGATACCGATGCTCTCAGAACCATCCTTTTGTATCACATCAATAATGGTATCTTCATTGGTGGTGGTTTGGAGTCTGGGGTGACAAACCTTCTGAAGTCCCTTCAGGGCAGCAACCTCAGAGTGATGTTTGTAAGTATTTAGCACAATAAGACCGAACATCTCTTATCTTAAGTCAATTAGTCATATACCTTAAGATCCATTTTCTGGTATTAATGTACTTTGTTGTATCTTTAAGGATGACACTATTAAAATGTGTTTAAATAATTCAGTAAAAGAATAATCATTTCATTTTTTGTTTTACTTGTTTGTAAATGTGTCCTTCAGGCAAACAGCTCAATGCAAGTGAACTCTGTCCTAGTCCCTGAATCTGATATCATGGCCACAAATGGAGTCGTTCACTTTGTCAACCAAGTCTTGTATCCTGCAGGTACAATTTACAAATCAAATGACGCACTCTCTTTTTATTTTACTTTTGTAAAGGCCCAACCATAATTACTGCCCTGTGTTTTCTTTCAGATATCCCTGTTGGCAACCAGGATTGGCTCATGCTATTGAAGAGGCTCATCAGTTACATGCAAATCAAGGTAATAGATTAAGAAATTACTTATTTTTATTAAAGCTGTGAGGCTTATTAAATACAATGTGTAGTTTTCAAAATACAGGTGTTTGTTGTTTTAATTTCTTCTACGGCTGCCAAAATACAATTTATGTAACTCAACATGAATTACAGTACAAGAAAAGAATCAGCTTGAAAACCATCTGTTCAAAGCATCAAGCAGTGGTTTGGAAGCAGGGTGTTATGACTGTGCTCAGCAATTTGTCTTTCACAGGGTAATCAATCACTGAAAATGAGCATGGTCCAACTTGAATCCCTGCTGTTAGTATCATCTGTGGTAAAATATTTCCTTCTTTTTTTGCAGTACATCTCAGGATTCAGATATCAGGAAATCCCCCTTACATTTATGAGTAAGTAGTGCAAATATGATGATTTTGGCTATGAAATACCATATTTGTTTACAGGTATATTCTTCACCGTCATTAATGGCATAATATCTCCTGTCGTTATTAGAGAGGACCGTGACTCGTGTCATCCAAGAAGGTACAGTAGTTATGATTAAAGAGTATAATCATCATGTGATTCCTAGTCAGTACAACACAGTGTATGACAACAAAAAACTGTTCCATGCATAGAATCGGGCAATGAATAGGAAGGCTACTGCCTGTTAACTTGAAACATGTACTGATCAATCACCAACCATTTTCATTATTAATCCGTCTTTTCACACATAGAAACATACAGTATTTGACAGCTGGAGTAGCAATAATCTGAGAGAGAAATAAGAAATCTCTTTTCTGCTTCTGGCTAATTGTGTACCAGTCAGCCATATAAACTGTTTTGAAACACAAACATGAAGCAACATAATTTATGAAAATAAAACAGCAGTGCAAGAATACTATTTAAAATAAATAAATAATAATAATAATAATGAAACATTTCTTCTTTGCTATTATAGTTCCTGATGAAAGGAAAGTTACAAGGATTATCCAAGGGGAGCCCACTATCACCAAGGTTACCAGGGTAATTGAAGGTCAACCGTCCATCACCAAAGTCACAAGGGTCATTGAAGGTCAACCGTCCATCACCAAGGTCACCAGGGTCATTGAAGCTCAACCGTCCATCACCAAGGTCACCAGGGTCATTGAAGGTCAACCGTCCATCACCAAGGTCACCAGGGTCATTGAAGGTCAACCGTCCATCACCAAGGTTACCAGGGTCATTGAAGGTACATATATTTCAGTGAAATCAATACGTCAGTAGTTTTATATCATGTATCATCTAAAAGATTCATGAATGCTGTTGTCTGCAGGCTCTCAGTTCTCAAGCAGCTATGGCACCACCAACATAGCCCTGGAAGGTGAGTGAAACTTAATGAGATTTGAACAGACATGTAAGGATTTAATAGTTTGTTTTTATAAACAATGGGGTTCATTGTCCTAGTTGTGTCACTATAATCATCAATGGTATTCAGGTTCACAGTATTTTAAGTAATTTACTACAAGTAACCCCATAAATAAGGAATAACCACAATAACATTATGCTATGGTTACTAATGGCTGGGTGATTAAATGGAATTGAAATAAATATGTAAATCTCCAGAGGAAACAGCTGGTTATCCATACAGTATGTTAATATACAAGGTGTCTGTCATCATTGCTATATTAAGGCTGAAAAACAACAATGTAACCTGATTCGTTTTTCAAGCAGAACAGAACAAAGCTCTTCTGTATAAAATAATTCGCTTTTACTTTAGAGATGTTTGCTTTTTTCTTCAGGAACTGACATTTCAGGTCTTGCCAACACTGAAGAGGATAGTGATAGACTAGCCAGGATTATCCAAGGTGAGTTTTATTAGTTTGTATAATCTCAGTAATTGGGAAAGAAAAATTCGTAAAATATGTGTGACATATATGTGTGTTTGCCTTTATAGCAGGCAGGACAAGAAAAACTGGTTCTCGGAGAGTTCTAGGTAAAGAAAATGAGCCAGTCCAAAGAAAACAGCTGCAATTTGTAATAAAAGCAGCTTGGAGCTAGTTCAGGCCATTGTGTTGAGTCTGCTGTTTTGTTCACATGGCATATTCCTCTGCATTTATCCAATGCACCCCTTCAGGTGTGTGTACTTAAAGGAATTATTTGACATTTTGGGAAATACACTTAAACTTCTCACTTTTTGGCTGAGATGAGCAGATTGATACCACTTAATGATAATAATCGTCTCATCTAACTTTTGTCAATAAAGCAAATAAGCATATTTTCCAAAATGCCAAACTACTTTTAAGGTAAATGTTGGCTGCTATCTCTTTTGCTGCCATGCTTGCCGCCACAACGCTCACGTGAAAGCTATGCTGTGACTTGGTGCTAATGCCCCTGCGGCTGCTGTTCATACTGTAATGCAGTTTATGAATCCCACATCCAATACAGCAAACACTTGTAAGCTCAGTGTCCATACGCTTCTGTATGCGTAAAGATATTGACTCACTTCCCACTCCCTGCGGTGCTGAGCTTATTGTTTCCATTGCGATAGATGACATCAGCGCCTTGATGCCGAGCTTCAATGCAGTTCATATTCAACATTATCATCATTCACTGATTGACTTGTATATATGGTTATATCCTTTACCTTTTTATTTACCAGATGGCACCAGGAGGAGAGCAAGAGACTGAGCATGAACGAATGAGAACGTCGACGTTGTAGAAGAAGAAAGAGACACCAAACCAAGAGGTTGAGATTGTTGTTTTAATACAGGTGAAACACTTAAAATGCCCGTGATTTGAAATATACTGTAGAAGGTATAATTGCCAAAAACAAACCTTTTCTCGTAAACAATGTAATGGTGCATTGAATGTATATCTATTTTGAGTGTGCTATGTCTAATAAAAAGTTCAGGATATGTAAGTGTGTGTTAAATGTTGGCATTGCTTTAGGGGTAAAAAGCGAATTAAGATAACAATACGAATGTTTTACATCCAAGCCATTAGAGTAGCTATAAAAAACATTTCAGTTCTAAACCTCTCTGTTTCTTTGCCAGAGGAGACGGTCAAAGCAAGTTGATTTTACTAGCTGTTTGGGAAGATTTATAAATGTCAGCAGAAATGATGTTGTGTCTCAGATTAAAACTGTTACATTCATTGTTTTGTTCCTGAAGTTGGAAGTTGTTTAAGGTTTCATGTAAATGTTGTCTATGCTTGTATCATTAGGATCAATCTATTCAGCTGCAGAGTTTTTTCTTTCCTATTTTTTAAACATTTTCCAATAAAATGCTTTCTTTTATATGAATATGACGATTTGAAAGTTGTATTAGAAGAGATTGTTGTTTGGAGTCATTTCGAATGTACTTGGATGCCCAACAATAGTTCAGAAAAGAGAATCTAAAGTATACAATCTCAATAACATGTCTACATTTTCCAAATAAAAATTCCTTAAATTAGACGCTAACATTTCGGAGCCCGCCTCTTTAATGGGACAGTCATTTTTCTGTTTCTTTAAGAGGAAGCATGGAGGTCAACTTTCGAAAACTTTAAAGATGACATTATATAAGATAAAAATGTATCACCATATAATACAGTATATGGCACATGCATTAAAACACAAACAACTTTGCATAACGTGAAAACAAATCGGCAGGTTTTATGTCATTAGTAATAATTTACAGTGGTTAGATGTTTATCAGAAGAATGAATCATATTTAAGATGTTGTTTTCAACAGCACAGCCAGTTAAAATATTTGCTCAGGAGTTGCAGGGACATTGTGTGAGATGTTGTGCGCAGACATTTGGGACAGCCCCAGCTCCTCTGTTGTCTGGCTCGTGTGCAAAAATCTTCGGTGCTCTTTATGGTTTTTGGATTGAGTAAAAGTGGTAAATATCTAAGGACTCCCAAGAAACAAGCACAAATTCCTGGAGCTCACATCAATACAAATATGGCAAAATGTAAAAGGCATTGTTTTGTTCATCTGTCATTTCAAATAAAAATAATTCACAGTGCAACAACAGGCTTTATTGAGCCATGCAGCTGGTTTCCCACTGCTTGGAGTGATAGTGTTGTTATTTGAATGTTGCTTTAATCAGTAAAACTAAAATGATATGAACCATTCTGTCTGTTCATCCAGTCAGTGGGCCACAGAAAACTAAAGTAGCAACTTGCATACCATCCAAACAAGAAGTACCAACATATTCTGTTATCTTTATTATTTACAATAGCAAAATCCACAGATATGGCAAAAATAGAAGATAATGGCGGCTGTAGGGAGGCAAGACACTCCTGTGGGGATTGGCACATTATTGTAAACTGTAAGTCGCTTTGGATAACTAGTGACATGTAATGTAAAAGAAAGCTGAGGAGTCCTGTTGCAATTGATTCACCCCAAATTCATCATGTATACTTTATGACAGTATGATGATTGAATTACGTTTTATTTTGTAATGCTAGGGTGTGCGCTGGGAATTAAAATAAATAGTCAACCATTTAATGTTCGGTTGTTTAAATGATATTTTCCCTTTTATTAAAGTCGCTTATTTTCACACTATCAGTAACCTTTGCAATGTGTTAACCAGCAGAGTTTGAGTAACTATAGGGAAACTGCTTCAGTTAAAGGTAAACCTTACCGCGTAGAGAGTGAACGCTTTCTTCAGACGGACGCACAGCAGGCTATATTTTATTTAACAACACACGGAAAAATGGAGAAAACATCTGCTAGAGGGATCCTTCTGTTTTTCCACTTAGTTTTCCACACTGTACTAAACAATCAATTATTCAGTCATTTATGAGCCCCGTGCATCACCAACAACTATTCAAATCTCACTTGACAGTTTCCACTGTTCATCACTGTCACCCAGAGGCAGCTGTGAGCTCAACCTAAAGGGAGACCACACATTCATAAACTTTCATTTATTTGTCAAGTGTTGGTTGTTTGTAATTTTCTGACAAGACAATGCATTAATAATTTAGTTTAACTGCCTTCAAAGGGGTGTCAAGCTGTGGTTTTCATACAAGACACAGTTCTTAAAACATGTACTTACTGCTAGATAATGTAATTAGTAATTGATGACTGCATTTTATTTCTCTATTACCAAAACAGACAGAGTAAAGTACAGTCATAAGATAATGTTCCAAAATTAAACAATCATTTAATAAACTCCTGATACAAGTTTTTATTTGAATATAAGAAGTATTGTGAATAGCAAGATGTCCTTGACTTAATACACAAGTGTAATCACATGTGACCTGCAAATGTGGGAGTTCAGGGAAGGTTTCAGTTTGATTTTAATTTGTCCAAATCGTATGAGCATACCAAGAGAATTTCTTGGCCCAGTAAAAGTGTGTATTGCTGAATGCCTTGGATGCAGCTGTGTGAAAGTGGCTCATCATCTGGATGCATCTGGGTCCAGAGTGCTGACATGTTCCTGGCGCAGCGGCTTTGTGTCTTGGATTAGTTTCCACTGAAGTGCCATCATGTATAGACTTGGGCACAATAAAAAATAAATCTGCCCTCATCCACATGAAGATAATCTTTATGCAGCCAAGCAGTAAAGCCAATTAAATTGTACTCGTACTGAAGTGAAGATGGATCAAAAGCTTCCATCTGAGTTGAGTCCTGGGTGACAGTTTCAGGTCAGTGGAGTGTTTCTTGCCTTGCACAACTGCAAAGCCATAACAAGTCATCTGAACCTGAACTTTGAAACGTCTGAGTAACAGATAGAGTATTTGCTTAAATCTGAATCCACTTATTTGTTATTTTGTCACTGAATTATTGCCTCACGGTAGCTATAACTCAATGGACCATTTTTCAAGAGCAAGCTATTCCTGGACACTTTTCTCTTGCTGGATCTCTATAAATCATATAAGAATGACCCCAGTGACCTAGACTAATATTCATACTGAATGGTCAAATTGCTTGACAAAATTTGGCTTCCTGTAAATGTATCCAACTTTATTTCAGGCCTCTTGGTTTGATGCTTGCAAATTGGAAAAATGCTTATGTGCCTGATAATGATTCCTTCAAGAATTGGACGGTTTCTGCTGGAAATGGATCTCCCTGAAGTTTGTGTGATTTTTATGTGGTGGATTTTTTGGTCTTTGTATTTAATGTTTAGATGCTTTTTATGTTTCATCAGTAGAATGAAACATACTGTATGTAGATTATATAGAAGCATATTGAGTGTACTACACATTTACATATTGTCCAATTTCCCTGAGAGATGCTTTTATAGTGTTAGGTTGGTAATATAATGTATAGCTTTTGGCTCAAGTACAAGCAATTTTTATCAAGACCATTTAAGATTTCTCTCTCTATATTAAAAATAAGAAAAAACATATTGTTCTGTGATTTGCAATGCATTACACAGCATGCAGATATATTTCCAGGGAAATGTAAGATGGATTTATGGACAGGTCCCTTTGTACCTTTCAGAGGAAAATGTGGCAGATACAAAACGTTTTCCAGAAAATGAGCATTTTGTTCATACATAATTCATTTGTATCCTCATCTTATTCCCAAAACTGTTCTTTCCATCTCATCCCTTCTTTTGTCTTTGGTTGTTTTTTGAAGATGTCACTTGGAGTTTTTGATTGTGGTATTAAATTGTGCATCTCACATTAATACATTTTCTCAGTGCTGAACATTCAGTATCTTAACAGAGAGACCAGCAAGATTACAAAATACTTGCCGTTTGACCAGCAGCAGCTGCAGTCTTGTGTTTTCTTTCCCCCAAATTCCATAGCGGAGGCACAAGGGGGGTCAACAGTATGCAACAACCTCCCAAACAGTTTATCCGAGACAGACAGAGAAGATTAGAATTTTACGGAAAATCATTATCTGCTGGTAATGGCATTAAGATCCAGTATTTTTATTATTGTCTTGGTTTTGACAAATATGAGAATTCCACCTTCATTACAACGACATCACTGAATGAACTAATACTCATCGTGTATTTTCTTCTGAGCTCTAAACAGTGCAGTTTTACATTGGATCTAGTGACTTATTTTGAATTATTACCTGAAGCAGACGATAGCCCCTGCGTGCTGATGAAAGGACACATGAGGGAGGGCACACATAATCCTTTGCCTTCAGGTTTAACATCTTAATTGCTTTGGCCAACCCAAACACTGTTAAATTGCTTTACTTAACATAAGCATTGGCTTGCAGGACAGGTTGCATGGCATAAAGAGGATTTTAATTATTTCGGAACCAATATGTAATATTCTTATTCTGGGCGGAAGTGGTTCAGTCTGTATAGGGGATTGGATTTTGGACCGAAGGGTTGCCGGTTCACGTCCCCGATCGGATCAAAAAAATACGGAGTGTGGACTGGTACTGGAGAGGGGCCAGTTCACCTCCTAGGCCACTGCCAAAGTGCCCTTGAGCAAGGCACATAACCCCCAACTGCTCACTGGCGCCGGCTAGACTGGCTGCCTCCGCTCTGACCTCTCAACTGCATGTGCATGTGTGCATATAACTGTGTGTGTATTTGTATGTGCATGTTCTAAAAAGTGTGTACTGTGTGTACTGCATGACCTGTATAAAAACGCTTGTGTGTGTACGACAGAGTGGAAACTGAATTTCCCCCTCGGAGGATTAATAAAGGTCCATCTTCTCTTCTTCTTCTTCTTCTTCTTCTTCTTCTTCTTCTTCTTCTTCTTCTTCTTCTTCTTAAATCAGCTGGTTGTAATTTCTACAAAATAAATGGCAGTCCGGCAGCCTTGTTGGTATTATCTACTTTATTTCCGTTCCTTCCTAACCTCAAGTTCAACAGATGGGAAATGCTTTTTAGTGGAACTGAAGTGCTTCCTAGAAGATTGTGGTAACTTGTCTAATTAGGAGTTGAGAAAGTCTAGTGTGTGACGCTAAAGGAGCTTTCTGCTTTCCTCATGTGCATCATCCTGCTATATTGCACACATTTATTGAACACTGCTGTCATAACACTCTTTATATTCACTGAAAATGTACTTGAGAGCTTTTGGCTAACGTGACTGCGAGTAGAATGTTTAATATTATTAGGAAAGTGCAACACCATTTTAATTGGACAGTATAACCAACAGAACGCTTGCAGGTTTGGTTTCATGTGTGTTTTTTTCATGACTCATCCTTGTGGGAAATAGACAGATGTTTTCCATGGTGGAAAAAGTCTGGCATGCAGCATAGTGTTAAAGTATCCAAATATTCACACCAAAGAGTGATGTAACTCCTCCTTGAAACCTCTCTTACCGAAACTTTTATCTTTTGGGGAATACCAACATAACTGAAGTCAGTAGTGCATGAAATAAAAAAACAAAAATGGTATAACTGTTTAAAGACGTGAACAAATTTGAAGTAGCTTAAAGAAACTCTAAACTGTTACACATTAAAAATCATACTAGTGAGTCAGGAAGTGCAACANATAAAATATATTTATTAGATTTATAATAATAATAATATTATTAATAGATTTCCTTTACAGAATTTTTTTCTATTAATACTATTTATCGGAAGGAAATGTAGAATGTTTGTGGTATGTAAAACATACCAGCAACATTCTACATTTCCTTCCGATTCATTGGCTAAATGAATGCTTTTCTATATTCTTATTATTTAAAACATAATGTAAAACATAGCAGCTGGAAAACTAAGTGTGACCAAAGACACATCTGCTGTCACTGACTTGATTTACTGCACAGTTGGTGGACCACACGAGACATGATTCCTGTTCCTGTTACATCCAGCTGTTGCCAGTGCATTCCTTACACCCATTTAAAAGAGAAATGTTCTCTGTCGTTCTTGATGCAAAAAGAAATCATCTCTACTCCCTTTGGGTGAAATCCAGGAATGTTCTCTGGGGGAGTGGACACTTGCTGTTACATGGCATAAAGCTTCTGCAATGTGCCAACAATTATTCCAGAATGTGACTAGAGTAGAGTCTAGAAAATGGACCCAGGCACCAACTAAATAGGGGCGTGCTTTATTTAATCACCAGTATGTTGCTCACCATTGAAGACAGTGTTGAGGGGGGCAAGCAGAGTGTACTCAGCGTCAGATTGCATGGAAGCAGAAAGGCCTAGCTCGGACACCATGTCTCCAAAGGTTGACTGGGAACTTCCAACCAGTTCCATCACCTGTTTAGCTTGAGGCGCAAAGGGAATTTAAACACCATTAAAATATGGATTACAAAAAAACAATATATGTATTAATGTAGTAAATCGGGTAATCATTAATAAGGGGAAAATGTGTAAGTCTAACCTGAGTCTGGCATGAGCACTTGATCAATAAGGTGGATGACACCATTGGTGGTGACAATGTCCTTCTTGAGCACCATCTTGATGCCATTGACTGTTAAACTCTCGCCATCACAGCCGATCTCAATGTTGTTGCCCTCCAGGGTCTCGTAGGAGGTGCCACCCATGATAGCCTCAGAGCACTGGACAGAGTCCAGGATGTGGAAATTCAGGAGAGCTGAAAACGCAGGACCAAGTTTTTAATTATTATGTGGTTGAGGGATATGGGTAGATGTTTATTTGAGTGGGTTGGTTGACTGCATTGGCTGTTTTATAGCCTCTCTTATGTTATGTTGCAGCTAAGGATATAACGTCCTGGGAACCTGAGGAACCCTTAGATCCCTTGGGTCCTCGACTGAGAAGGCTTGTGATTTCGTCAACGTTCTGTTTAACTTTGTGTGAAATGGTCTGATCTGGTCTCACATCATAAGGGGAACTGTGGGCTAATAAAATTTTTTGGGATGTTGCCAATTCGACCAGTTTGCTCAATGAAGCAGCTGTTTCCTGCCTCTCGGTGTTGTATGAACGTTTTCTATGAGATTCTGCACTTTTTGGTGTTTTTTTCCCCCAGGATTTTCAAACCTTAGAGTAATTTAAAGTATTTACCTTCTCTAATTAAAGATTAAAGTGGTACTATTCTTGCATATTTTTAAGAAAAAAAGATTTAAGGACACATAAGTGTTAAAGGATGTGTTGCATTGTTTGACCTTCATCGAGAACTTAATGCACTACTTGAATCTTCAGGCGTATTTTTATTAGGCTTTAACAAAACGGTGTCATGCACAGCTTGCCAGATGTGTTTAAGTTCCAGATTCAATGCGGCGCCATCTGTTTTGAGTTGGGGGAAGTTGAAACATCACTTTATGGGGAATTAAGCCTAGGAAAAAGGCTGCCAGGGAATCATTGCATTTCTTTGTCTTTACCTTCATCAATCAATATAAGTATGGCCCTATTTGCAACAGTTAATATAAACATCAGTCTCAACAACAATGTTTTAAATGACTGTGAGTGGTCTAAAGAACTGCGAGACACCTCTGAGAACAAGTCGTATTTACCTTTGAGGACCTTTTTGTCGCCCTGAAGTCTTTCCAACACTTCACTGCCCAGAGTCTCAAAGGCTTTGTTGGTGGGAGCAAAGAGAGTGAAATGTCCTGGCTGACCCAGCTTCTCCAGAAGACCAGAGTTTTGAGCCACATCCTAAAATGTTATCACATAATTACTTTTAGTGAACATCAAAATATGATATATAAACTGGAAACATTTGCAAAAGCAAGACATTACAACCTTACAATTTTGCAGTTTTTGATTTATGCATCTGCTTTATTTTCTATATTGCTCTTCATGCTTATATTGAAATTGGAAAACGTGTTATATTATTTCATACTTTGTTCAGAATCCTTGTTTCTTGAAGTACTAAAAATATTTCATCAATGTTTGGGTTTACTTACACTCAGGGTTGTCAGGTCATCTTCAACCTCAATGACATCCTGGATTGTGTTGCCAACAGCTTTGATAACACGGTCAATGACATGCACAACTCCATTGGTGGCAATCTGGTTACCATGGATAATCCTGGCGCAGTTCACAGTCACCACCTGCACAAAACATTCACATCAATGTTATACCACTAAAGTGTCTCTGGTACAAGGGACTGCAATGATAATACTATATGATAATACTCACCCCATTGGAGTAATGATTTATTTGAAGACCAAGGTCTTGGTACATGGAAGTGACAGTCATTCCATTCTTTAAATCTTTGGTCAAGAGGCGTTGGTTGGCCATGTGATAATGCAGAGCGTTGTACAGTTCAATGTTGACATTGCTGACCAGTGCGCTCCTCATTTCCTGTAAGATGAAGAGAAGGACATTTTAAAACCTAAAAAAAAAAGAGCCAAAACAAAGATTTTTGTTTTGCTTTTGACTCACTTCATCCAAAAGCTCCCATGCATCATTGCTGGGGGCAAAGACGGTAAACGATCCAGATCCCTCAATCTCAGGCCTCAGTTTAGAGATGTCAGAGTATTTTTGGGTTGAGGTGGCCTTCACCACACCCAAGGTGCCATACACATTGTCGATCGGGGCCACTAAGAAATAATATGTATAAAACAAGCATTATTAGAGGTCTGTATGCCATTCTTATAAAATACTTGAAAGAAAGACTATTTATGCGTTGACAATATGCTACACCAAACTTTTTTTGTTTGTTTGGATTCATTTCCTAAATAGCTCACAGCTGCTCTACAGTTGGAGGAAATATCCTCATCTAACCTTTAAACATGTACAACATTGTAGCACTGTACCTGCAGGGCATCCACGCATGCCTTCCAGCTTCATGTACCCTGGGCAGCACTCATAAAGCACAGTCCTGCAGGCAAAAGACATGGATCACAAACATGGGTATCATTTCAATTCAGTAAAACATCATTTCACATGCTGTTTTCAAGCCTCTTTCAACATAGATGTGTGAGACATTTTCTGGCTGCCATGTTGTGAACTGATCCATCATTTCACAGTGGTTTACTGTGTTCATTGTTTCCAGATGTTACTCATTATCTCCTACATTACCCACATACATCATGTGATCTTACAACTAGCCAAAACCTAATGGAGATGGCTGCTACCGTTACAGTAGTAGATTTACATAACCAAGACCTCCTGTTTGAAGTTAAGCAGTTAGTTTGGACTCTACTTGGAATTTGGTTAACCTCAGCCACATTAACATGTCATGCCTAGAGAAACTGCTGTAATTACAGTTGAGTTTAAGGTAATTTTGGTTGACACCCTGAAAAAGGGTTTGATGGTAATTATAAAAACTGTTGAATTAAACTGAATCAGACCTTTTTACAGACAAGGATAATTGTGATTTATAAAAGATACAAATGAAACATTTGTATTTACTGTTGTACAAACATTTAGGAATACCTTTCTGCTTTCTACGCACTGTAAACAGCACTGGACACTGTAGCCCGAGTAGGATATTAAAACTGCAGCTGTTATATATAAATATGCCAAAACAGTACATCAGCAGGTTTAAACATGTTTAAACTATTTCATTGTTTCCAGCTTTTGGAAAAAAAGACATTTGCAGATGAACATTTTACCTCAAGTAACTAACAGGTATGCAGCAATACAAATAAACCACACATATATATATATAGTAGTGGTTAACAATACCAAATGCATCCAGAGTTGGCTGGGGAGTTTATTACTTTAGACTGCCAAGATTTTTTTTTGGAAAACTATAACAAATAATCTGCTCCCCCCCTCCAGATGTTTTGCTTAAAATTGGCACTATGTGACACATAGCATTACATTTGATTGTCTTAAAAGTGTATAGGAGTACTTGTTCTTCAGAACAGAAAAGTAGGAGGAAGATAAGGAGTGTCCAAAGGTCTACCAGTTCCTCTTTATCAGCGGTTTCCCACACCAGGAAAGCGCCATATGTTCGCCATGTTTAGTTCAAAACGGACTAAGTTAATTAGGCAATATGTTAAGATACACATTCTTAACTGGATTGAAAGATCACACAACTTAAAACATGCTATAGATACAATCATTGTGAATAGTTGCTCTTGGGCAAAAACCTACAGTAGTGGAATTCTAAACCCTTCAATAAAAGCATTATGCTTTAAGTTAAAACATGTGTTAACTGTCTCAGACAGGGTACAGACCAAAGCTTCTCGGTCATGGCAAACTGCATTGCTTGAACCACTATAATTTAATCATAGTTGAATGGAGTCGGAGGGACTGGGATGAGATCACACAAGCCCTGTTCCGGCAGAGTCAGCGAAACCCTCGCAACATTGCTTTACCACACAGAGGGATCATAGTGTTGGAAACTTTTGACTTGTCAGCATCTCTATAAAATAACTGTTCCACATAGATCATGAACACTTTCCCAAACACAAAAAGTTTTATGTGGCTTTATTCCAATTAAACCCATCACTAATAAGCAGTTTGGTTGTACAGGGTTTTCTTTGAGACAGAGCTGCTTTGTCAGCAGAATAATTTTCACTTGTTGAATCAGATAAGTAGAAGTGTATGCTGGCTGGCTAAATCAAGTTATAAACCAACAGTAAGTTAGACTTTATTATGTTATATATATATATATATATATATGTCTCCCTTGAAAAAGAGATCAATGATCTCAAGGGATACACCTGGATAAATAAAGGTTTGAAATGAAATATGTTCAAGATGGTTCCTTTCTGTAACTTCTTCGGTATAGTAGGAGATATCTCATATTTTTTACAAAATGTAACCTTTAATGTACCTAAATATATTTGATATAAAGGTTCTTGTCCTTTTTTTTCTAAATCAGAGAAACTGATAATGTCAGAGGTTTACAGTATATACCGGTACTCTTCCAAAGGCAACATCTGCAGCTGCTTTCAAATCAGTTCCTGTGAAATGTCTGATGTCATTGAACTGAAACACCTATTTAACTTGGCATTGTGTTTTCGAAATGGTGGGAAACATCTTCAAAGCTTGTAGAAGAAAGGGTGGGAGGAAAGATGGGAGGGTAATACTGTAGGTTGGGCTTGGTAAGTTAATATGATCTTTGTCACGATAATTAATGTGTTTTCAATTAATCTTTGATCCCCAACTAAAGTAACCAAGCTAAGTTCATCAGCTAATATAAACATTTGCTCAACTCAAACTGGAATCTATTTGCAATACCTATGGTTTTGCTTTCAGTAGACCATTGCATCAGTTTACCATTACATTTAAAGTGTGTATTTTGTATTATTAATGTAAAGAAGCCAGGTCTGGTTTGGAGTACTAAGACTTAATGTATATGCTTGTAGGTGTGAGAGGGATGGGAACTGAGGGGACTGGAACAAAAAGAGGAAAAGAGGTTGACTGGAATGATTGAAAGAAATGAATTGATATTTTCCATTCTTGAATATAGTCAACATTTCGCAGCCACATCACATACCGGAATCAGAGGTTCACCACTGTGGCTTTCAAGGACAATCGAGCTTCCGTGGTTATAAAAAACCCTCGCATGAGGTTTATGGGATCACATACATGTAGGACAGTCTCCAAAACAAAGAATTCAGGACAGCCTCCACAAATGTGTTTTTCATTTTAAGCGGCGGAATCATTCAAAGTAAGATAACAGATGTTTGTCTCTGTGGAAACATTAAAGTTTCCACGAAAACATTAAAGTTTCCATGAAAACCCTTAAAGAAGCAGGCACGCGATACAGAAAATATGCAGTATTTCCAACTGATGTCCAGGTTAAACTATTTAGTCATTCAATTTGCTTGTAATTTTAGGATGGGCAACTTGTCCTATTGGAAACATGAAACAACACTTACGCTTTCTTTCCACAGATAGACCCGCGGTACCAATTACGACAAGTGCTGAAGTACTTCTTCTTGGTCCCCATGAACTGTTGGAGTGCGCAGACATTGGGTCTGAGGAGAATTGAGGGTAAGAAAAAAGGGATGAATTATTATTGGCAGGCAAAGCACATGGGAAATATTATGGAAACAATCCACATTTAAAGTTTAAAACAGACTTGCTGGGAAGACACTGTCAAGAATGAGTAATTATTTTTGCAACTACCCTTGATGCTTATGAGACCAGACAGGCAAATATAAATCATTATCACAACATCCACTCCTGCTGACTATGGTATTGGTTTGCAAGATTTAAGAAATCATTTGAAAAACTATAACACGTCTTACTCCTTTACAAAGTGAGACATAATATCATATTATGAGCAATGTATGTGAAACTATTGTGACTGCACTACAGTATATATCAGATTACATAGAAAAACAGAACTCAGACACATACAGAAATCAAATGAATAACTGATGCTTTTAATGCAAGGCACATCACCATTGCATGGAAAGTAATCAAACATGTTATCAAAAGGGTGTTAAAAATGCAATTATCCAATTACAATTTAATCATAATGAAAAATATGAATCTTACCCTTCTTTTCTTGCCCTGATGCGACTATGGGCAACTATCTTGTCATAAGCTGAAGAGTCAGCCTTGTCAAATGCAGAAAGCACAAAAAGTGCAAAGGCAGCTACAAAAAGGAGCTTCATCCTTGGTCTCTTAGCTCGCCCCTCCAGACCCAGATTGTGGGAGCAGACTCGGAGTGGGAGTTTATATACCACAAGTCTCACCCTCCACTCAAGGAGGATGGCAACATTTTGTGCATGCATGGACCACCCAGAACATTTGTTCATTTGTATCTACCAAGCCTTTTCCTTTCTTGTGTGTGTGATTAATTAAAATGTGTTGTAATTAGTGGATTATCTCCCATATTAAATAATTTACGGAGCATCATTAACACAAAAAATGGAACACCATTACATTCATACAATGTTCTTTTAGTCTTTGACAATCTTCTTTAATACACATTTAAAAGGCACACACATGTATATGCATTGCTAAAAGAAGAGGCTTTGTTATGGTGAAACATTCTAAATGTGTTTATTCCACTTGTTTTAATACATGTAGCCACATCACAGCTAACACTTTTACTCAAGGAAGATTGCATTGAATTGAAAATAAGGAAAATTATCAGGGCACATTATTTTTTATTATTTAATAGATTTAAATGTAACATCTCAAGAAAGTGTAACAGATGTCTCAAATGACTACTTCTAAGTGTTCTGCTACAAAATAGCTTTGCATATTTTTTAGAGCACTGAAAATGAGCATCACATAAAGAGACATACAAATTGAGCAGATGGGACACTGAATCCAAATGCATCTTGCCTGTTGAAGTGTCACTTATTTGGACTGCAAACAAAGAACCATTGCATAATCTGACTGAATAAATACTTCAGAGTGTTGTTTGCTCCACCTAGTGGTAGTAGGGACTGCAGGCAGTCAGTCTCACATCATCACTATCTTTCATGGATAATATTTTCACATAATCATTATGACATTGGAGAGGGAATAATTACTAAGATTAGTTAGTTTAGTTTAGATTTTGAAGTATTACAATTTAGTAAGCCAAGAACCAGACATCCAATCGTAAAACCCAGATGTGATTCTAAAGTACAGTTTCTGTTTTAAATCCAATAAACATGATCTTGTAAGAACTAACAGGACACAGACATTCATTGGCATTGACATTCACATTATCAATTGTATCTTGGCTACAACTACAGACACAACAATAAGTTAATAGTGTGTGTATTGGCTCACATAAGCACAAAGTCAAAACCCAGATTTGTTAAAAAAAAAAAGAAGAAAAAAAAGGATAAGGTACAATTTTAAAACAGCATGAGCACACCTATGTCATGCATTACTCTGCAATTTGCTATTATAACTGTTTGGTACCTAACTAACAAGCAAAATGACCCATGGCATCAAAGAGTATAAACTCTTAAAGTGCATCTGCCGTTAAGCCTTACCAGTGGGTGATGTTGCTGATACAGTGGCATACCCAAGTGGCATCACTTACACCAGACAATCTCCCACATGTTGCTAAACCTCCAGGCCAAACAGATGTGAGCAATAAAGTAATGTCCTCCATGCCAACGGAGTCAATGGATGGTGAACAACAGGCAGAATCCCCCCCAAACAGACCCAGGATCGAAATTCAGCACATTCAGTATTTGAGACCGAGAACCAGTGCCTTTGCCTATGCTTGTGTACAATAATGTGTAGACTAAACCAGCAAAACACATTCAAAAGATGAGACTTTGAAAGCTGTAAGCCTCTTATGAACTTGATTAGTAAAGACCTTTAGAAGAACACTAAAATCTCCCAAAGACTGGAATAAATTAACTTCACAATCTCAACATTCCAAGGAGCAGCCAATTTTGGAACTGAAGACTCACTTTCAAGGAATAATATGAAATCGCTGCAGTGATAATAAAACGCAGCATGCTTTCACAATTTGAATCTGAACCCTCTCTATTCAGTTACTTTCACCAATTACCAACACCACATGTGTTACAAAGATTTGATAAAGTAGCTGATTACAGTATATTCTCTTTGTGTCTTGGTAGTATTCTTCTTTATGTGGAAATGTAAGTCACATTTGAATGAGCTTTGAACAGTCTGTAATAGGCTTTTCTTGATAAATGATTTGCGCTCAGCTGCTATGGTAACAGGAATCTAAAGACCTCATGCTCCCAAGTGTTGGCAGCTTCAAGCCATAAAAGGTGTACATTAGATTATCTGGGCAAATACAGTAAGCCAACTTCAAAAGCACAACACCAACAACTGATCATTTACTGCTTTAATAATAGCTTATAACTATTAGGTATAGCAGTATACAGTATTTACTGTCACACAAATAAACTCAATGTTATTGAGGTTAAAACATGAGCTGTTATTAATACAGCTTCCATTGCAAGTTCTGCAAAGGTTTTCCTATTTTTTTTATGTTGATTTTTGTGCCTTTTATCGATAGCATAGCTGGAGAGGGACAGAAAAGGGGGATGGAGAGGTGACAACAGAAAAGGCACATGGGTCGGAGTTGAACCTTGGCTGCTGCAGTGCAGCCTTGGTCTGTGTTGTACATGCATATTATGCATATTATATTATTACATGCATCAGTAGACAGCACTTGATAAGTAGTTACATATAAACATAAGCTAAATATGTAATTAAGAAAGAACGGTGAGGTGACACGTTCTGAAGTTCTTATAAGCAGTGATCTTAAGTAACTACGTATTTTGCATAATAAGTAGTTTTACTTTTGGAACTTCAATATTTATGCTAATACTTTTGTACTTTGACTTGAGTATCATTTTGAATAAAGGATTTTTACTTGTAACAGAGTATTCCTACACTCTGGTACTTCTACTTTTACTCAAGTACAATATATGAGTACTTCCTCCTCTGCATATAGGTACGGGAAAGGAAGACCTGGAAAGTCTTTAAATGTAAAGTTGTAAATTCCCAATCTAAGTTAATTGCTAATCAAATCACAATCAACATGCAGAATGTCCCCTTTCAGAGCTATGTTTTAATATCATTAGATCCTTATTAGCTAATGTATTAGCATGTATGCAGCATTGTAATATTGCAGCTGGTTAAAGTGGAGCTAGTTTTAACAAATTCATATAGTTTGGGACTGTACATAATGCATCATCATGTCTTATATGTTCATTCATTGTTTGTTAAATCAAGTTTTAATTACGAAATTAATTACGGCAGAAATGGCAATCCTGCTATTTGAAAAGCTACAGTCAGTTTAAACCTGAATGGACAGGAAATGTATGTATAATGCTCTAAAAAAGCAATCGTCACGCATCAAGATGGTGTAGCAGAACCTGGTGTAATGTTAGTCCTCTGATAGGTCACTGTGCAGAAGAGAAACATCTCTCAGAGGGAGAATGTCTATGTCAACTCTGCATCTAGTGCACAGTGTTAGACAAACCACTGTATATACAGCCAGAGAGAAGGTTACAAACTATTTACTTAAATCCTCTCTCCAGTAAACAAGATGAGAGATGTCAGCAGTAAAGCAAATCAAGAGAAAGGCCAATTCAACAAGTATTTTTCTTCTCTATCTTTGTGCCATTTGCTCGCCATCTTTATTTTAGTAATATACACTTTGTTTAGTCTTTTTAGATAATACTGCTTCAGTACAAACATTCTCATTTAATAACAGAGATGTTTTATTACATTATAAGTTACACAATTCCACATATAAATAACCACACATATAGGAATACATGTACAACATATCTTAAATAGATTGCATTGTGTTTCTCTTCTGCTCCATCAAAAGCATTTAGAGGAAAACATTTCTCTCTCCCTGAACAGGTTAAGTAATGGTGGAATAAAACAACAAACCCTATAAATAATCTAGATGCTACATTGATAAACTGGATACTGCGTACAGATTTAATATGGAATTGTTAAATTATTAAATAAAACTACACTTATATTATTTATTGATTATATTATGTTCCTGATTATTTTGTTGCAGTATGGATTTTAACAAAAACTGTTAGCACATTAGGGGTTATATTATTGTTATAGTCATATACATTTTGCATATTACAGTAAGAGGAAAGATGAAAGAGAAAGAGGACAGGATAGGCAGCAGAGTGTCGTCAGGGCTCTTTGGAATGAAATGCTCAATGTACAATATACATTTCTAACTTGCTTTACAATTCCCTGAGCTTCAAGTTAGCCTTGCTCCATAGTGTTGCATATCTTTTATCAAGAACTTAGGAATAATGGTAACATAATGTGAGAAATGGTATTATACTACTTATATATATATATTATTTCACTCAATACAGTGTAACTTTTAAACATGAGAGAAATCCTACTTTGATGAACTGGTTTCAAATGCTTCATGAATGAATATAGGTCCAAAAAAAGAAAAAAATCTATTCATGGTTAAAATCTCTCACTTGCCGACACAGATGATTTTGCGTCTATTTTTTTTAGCCAATTGTTCACTTCCTTAGTGTGTTCTTTGCAGGAATGATCAATCTCCTGAATATCCTTATCTGCTTTCTGTAAGAATTCCATAACGGATTTATCAGTCTGAAGTCATCCTTGGTTTTGTCCATCAGTTCCCAATATATCTTCCACTGACAATGAGTATATTTCATCACATGTCAGAGAGGGGAGTCTGCTGCGTCTCTGGGGGGACACAGCATCTGAGACAGTATTGCATAGCTTGTTGAGAGTCTGCTCTGTGCTGGACAGGACAACCGAACCATTGGCTGTACTGCTAGATCCCACAGTGATGGAGGGGGTGGCCGCTGCGCTCTTCAGGGTGGGCACGGTGATGTCAAACAGGGTCAGCTTCTGTTGTGGCTCATCATTAGGGAATTTGGGAGAATATATGAAACAATTTCCAGGGTAAGCCAAGGTGGAGCCTAGAACGTTACCTGTGACCCCCTCACCTTGAAGTTTACCCTTCATCATTCCAAGGACTTCATAGCGGAAGCTGGAGATGTCCTGCTTAAGCTCCTATTCATTGCAAAGAGACAGATATTAAACAACAGCAGAGAAAACACAACAATGAATAATACCAACTTGATTGACTGCATATTACCTTAAAGTTCTCCTCCGTCAGCCCTTCCTCTGTCTTTGCATCTCTGATCATTGCGGCCACATACCGCTTCACTAGGTTCTTCAAAACCCCCTAAATAATAAATATTGTTTTTGTAAAGCATGATTGCAGATTCAATGTTTATAAATTGAACACAAATTACTTACACATAACAATACATCCAAACTTTACAGCACTTAATGGAATACAAATAACTACCTGATATCCATGGTTTAATCTTACATTATCGGCTGCACGTCTCTACAATACAAAAAGAAAAAGTCCATTAACATTGCAACACATTCTTTTTTTAAAGGTTTATTGCAATAGGAGATCTTATGATGTACATTAAATGAGTGACTTCATTCGCTTAAATTAATCAATTTCTAAAGAGAACAGTTTATTTAATTTGCTCTTAATTATTTTTCAGCCACTTTACAGTCTATATAGAACATAGATCACAACAAAAGGCCCTACCCCCAGAGTTTCGAATGTTTCACGCCTTTTTATGCTTGTTCTCTTGAAGAAATGTGTCTTAATCCATCCACATAGATAAAAAACTGACTTTGGGCTGGGTACTATATTAAAAGGAGAAGGCAGAGTTCCCCCTTCTTCAAAATAGCTCATCCATAATTTTGTTCTTGCAAATTTCCACTCTATATCGGCATGATCCTGAAAGAAAACAACAAAACAAACAGCAATTATTTAAAACTGTTCGAAAAGGCATAAAAGACAAATTGGTGTGGTTAAATATAAAATTGGTATGCTAAAGCACTCACAGCAATGTGCTGGTAGGAGTTGTTCATCATGGCAATTAGCATATTTAAAAGCACTACCAGGGAAATGACATTGTACGTGCCAAACATGGTGGAGCCCACAAACTCAGTGAATTTATGGTCTGGTTTCACATTGGTAACATAGAGGGAAATTAGGCCAAATATCGACCAAAATAATGACTGCAGCGTCTGGAACAGCCTGAAAAGCAAACAACAAGACATTAAACAATGTGCTGCTGAAAAAGTGACAGATACATTAATATTTGTCAGGATAACATTTATTTAGGGACTCTTACTTACGTTGAGAATGCGTTGTTTTGCTGAAGACAGCGAACGCCGTAGCATGACAAACTCTCGTCTACATAATAAAAGTAGAGCTGGTTGAGGCCATTGGCAAAGGCTAACAGCACCAGACAATAGATGAAGAGAAACTTGAGGATGTCCAGGAGCATGCGGCCCAGTGAGATCTGTAAGGGGCCAAGGTGAGAGTTGGCAGTGAAAAGGCAGATGAGGCGCAAGGAGCTGAAGATGTTAGCGATGGCAAACAATGCCTCTGCTATCAAAGTCGGGTGCCACATTTCCCAGGTGTCTCTGGGTTTTTGCCCACTGTACTGTAATAAAGAAAAGAAGGAGAACAATGAATACATAGACTACCAACAAATAAAAGGCATCAGTTCAGTACAGTACCTTTGCATAGGCAACAATTTTCAGGGAAATTGTTGCAAGATACAAGGAGTTCATAATGAAGTCCATTAAGTTCCACCAGTCATCAATGTAGTCTTTGAAACCACTATCCCACATCTGTTTGACCTCCGTCCATATAAAGCCTTAGAGAGATAAACAGATAACAAAAGCAATTTGTGATTTTAACAATGTCTTAAAGTGTCCACAGGAACAAAAGTGTGACAAACAACCAGTGGTCAGTAAGCCCCTTAGTTTTACTTTGACCAAATATACAGATGTACAATAGTACTATACGTGATAACACGAGTGTAAACAGCTGTCTTTTAAGAGTGTGTGTTGTTACCAAGCACCCAGGGTAGGATCATCCATTCCACCGTGGTGGGTGGTGGGCCTTGAAAGTCCTTCTGCCCAGAAGCTATATGCTGCGAGGCCAGAAGGAGCAGGAAGAGGAAGGTCAGGTAGGAAGCAGTGTGACAGATGAACTTGATGAAGGGCTTCCGAATGAATAAGCCATAACTGCACTTTGGAGAGAACAAGTAGAAGATGGATAACAGTGGGAAGAGGAGGCCAATAAAGATACACGTGATGAGTTTTCCTGCCCAGTGCCGCCTCCTCCAGCCTGGGAACTCATCATACCACCGAGAAGCCAGCAGCTGCTGACAGTTGGGCTGAGCAACAAACTGAGAGAAAAGGAAAGACAAAGATCAGCAGAATAAGATTTAACTATCTCAATACATAACCTGCAAACACAACGTATATACAATTAAAGGCTACAAAAACTAGGACAACAACAGAAAACAATTATTCAAGACCATAAATGCTGTTTATTAAATGTCAGTATCATGGTGCTCAATCTACTTAATATCATCATCCCAAAGCCCCATGTTGACATTTGTAATTTGAATTGTAGGATTATCTTTGCTTCATTTAAAACTTTCACTGGAACAATAATGTGCATTTTGTTAGGTTTTCGGTCTCAAAACTCCTTACAAAAGTGGTTATTATTATCTAACTAATTGAATGTTTAAAAATGATTATGACCAGGTATGATACAGTAGCTGTATATACTGTGTATTTGATCAGCTTTAGTGATGTTCATCACTGTCCAACCAGTAGACCTGTGCTCTATAAAAGGCTAAACTGCCACTAAACCACCGTAAAAGAGCTCAGATCACATTTTTCCTCAAAATACAAAGCTTCTCTGTCCCTTACAGGGGGCTTAATTATGCCAAGCCAACTCTTTCAACTTTTGTACAACACCCAGAAGTCTCTAAAACAATCCTTCAGAAATCCCACACTTGAGAACAATTGATTTTACAGTTGCTAATCGTAAAAAAACAACCCTCCCCAAGTAAACCGCATGTCTGTATAGCATTGTTTCAATATATGCTGGTCATTTGCAAAGGCAGTGCAAGTAGACATTTGGGAAATGCCTGGTCCAAATAAATCCTCTTCACAGATGTAACATAGATTGTTTTTCCATGCCGATTCGAACTCTCTGATCTTGAAATGACAAAACCTGCCAGGGCTCGTTCTGCTACAGCAAGGGCTTGGTTGCTGCGCATTATTTATTTTGTGTTGTTAGAGGCACTGCAAACCACTTGCTTATGCCGTCTGTATTATTGTAAGCACTAGTTATCCAACATCCAATCACAAGAACACTACATGTGACTTAATGTGAATTAATAACTGACTTATCATGTAAGCATGCAAGACAAAATGTGCAAGTTGGAAAATCTTTCTGAATCCTCTGTTAAGGAGTGATTGACTTTGAGATTTGATACACACATCTGCTGGAGATCTGCAGATGGTGATGGAAGTAAATTCAATTTTAACCAAATTATGGCCAAATGGATTCCCATTATGGTATAATATAGCATTACATTTTGAGTGATGAGGTCATCATAATACAGAATCTGACTTCTTTAAAGCTTCCTATTCGTCCTTCTCAGATTTTGACTTGTTATGGCATGACCGAAGGCTAAAGGAGGCATCTGGCAGAGCCCGACTTTGTCTGAGGACATTTTTGGAAGGTGAAAATCACCCCATCCACGTCACAGCATCTTCCCATTGGCAGGCTCAATTAGATGTATTAATTATGCTAATTGATAACATTTGTCAGTTTATATGCACATGATCAAACTGCACAACTGTTAGATAAAATGTATTAGATATGATTTGTAATCCCACTTTAGCTTTCACTATGATAAAACTTGATAATGAACAACTAAATATTTGAGTTCCGCTAAGCAAATAAAAGCACTTACTCCACATAATTGATCATCTACCACAATGTTACAATAATGTACTGTGTTTGTCACCAGCACTACAACGCATCTTAAAAAGAAGTACACACAGGTTGTGCATTTTCTGTCTGTTTGTTAGCATGAACAGACAATGGAGGTCTATATACCTTACACTCACAACATACTATGTTGTCATTTACACAGCAATTGCTCAATGGCTACATCTGTGAATTTAGGGACAGGCAGGGCAAACAATGAATACTCCCATATACATTTCACTTCATATTATATTAATTGTCCTACTTTTGGCAGTATTGTTGTCATGTTAATTACGGCTCCAGGATCTTACTGGTTCAAACTGTTTCCAAAGTTAAGTTGAGTCTTAAAGCATTCAGGTTTTGAGCAAGTTAAATCTCACTGCAGATAAGTATGTGGTAGTTATCATTATTTTCACAAGTGGGAGTGGTAGTAATAGTAGTAGTCCCAGTATTAGTAGTAGTAACACCTATCTGTGGTAAGGCAACACGTAAACATTTCCCTTGAAGTGCAGCTGTAAATGCTTTTGCCATGGAGACATTTATGGCACATGGTTGCTAACACTAGAAGTCACACTGATCTTTTATTCTCGCTTCGCCAACTGTCTTGTCAGAATGTAACAGAAAAGCCAAAACACTGCTACAAAAACTCTTAAATACAGAAGGCAAAGAAAAAATCTTAATGTAGCTGATGAGCAGTGCATAGATGATAAAAGCCTTAACCCTGCAAATATTACACAACTATTGTATACCAACATGACCCTAAAATCTTTAAGTAGTATTTTAATGAAGGCAAAAATTAAAGACAACCATTGAAACCCCGTCTATACTTTCACTATTAGCCCAGTTATGCAGTAAACAAAACAAAAAATTCTGAGCTTGTTTTTTTACATCGCAGTATAAATCATTTTGTACAAGCTTCCTTTGCTGTCACCTGTTGCTGTGTTGTGCAAAAATCAATCGATATAATCCATTTTAAAAAGCATAAATAATACTTAATACTTATGGATTCATACAGTATGAAACACTTAATAATCATATTTCTCATCCTGTTCCTGCCAATGTGTAAAATGCACATTTTAAGTGGCTCTATTTCACAACAAATGATAGAAAGTCGGCATTGCATACTCTCAAGAAGATGTAAAAGACCGTAAAATGATCCCACCCTAATTAAAATATTATGAGTTTGTATTTCAGGGAAATGGTCATCACTTATTCCATCATTATCCCCAATTATCCAATTGTCATGGGACTGTCTGAGAGTGCAACTGTAATGCATTGTTAAGAGCCATCCAAGCAATTACATGTTATCCTAAACTCCCTAAGCAGATCTCCACCCATCTCAGGCCATTAACAACTCATCTTTGAACCATTCTTGTTATCTAGACCAGTGGTTCTCAACCTGTGGTAAGTGTACCACTGGTGGTACGCCAACTCCCGCTAGTGGTACGCAGAGGAATCTGACATAAAAAAATATACTGTATATTCTTTTTAATATTTTTTTAATTTTATTTAACCAGATGAAAACATTGAGACAAAATCTCATTTACAATGTTGACCTGGCCAAGAAGGCAGCAACGTTACACATTCTTACACATAACAGACACATAAAATACAGAAAACACAACTAAGTAAACAAAAAGACGAAAAGCAGTCACTACTTTGTGCACATTTGGGACAGTAAGAAAGGTACACTACTTATTACTGCAAGAGCAGCTGGTGGTAAGGACCTCAGACAACTTCAATTTAAAACAGGCTAGTGCCATCAGTTTGAGGCTTGATTGAATAACATTAATTACAAATAAATCATACTATCAAAATACTAAAACCAATAAAAATAAGATTGAGATAATTGAAACTGTGGTTTAAATAAGTTCTAATAGCCTATTGTTGTTTTTAGATTTAGAAACGAAAACATTTTTTACATTTATTTCTGGCATTGGTGATGACGACCACACTACCCGCGAACGATTAGCGAACGTTGCAAGCAAGCTAAAGAAAGAAGAAAGTTGAATGATGCTGTGAGAGAGGTACAGAGGAGAATATTACCAGCAAAAGTGAATGAGGACAGTCATCAACCGAGCACAAGCGCAGGCTCTGCCAGCAACGCAAAAGTGATATGCACAGCCACAACGTTGTGATGGAGGAGAGAAGTGACTCAGGAAGAAGACATTTGCGCAAAGAATGGAGAGAAGGCTGTGAAAAAGCTAAAAAAGCACACACTTGTCCTTAATTGCTTTTTTTTTTCTTTTTTACTTTGCCACCACAGAAATGGCAAAAGCAAACATCAGCAGACTGAAGATGAGCTATTAGCCCTTAGGCTCATCTGCTCCTGGAGGCTTTCATTATTATTGTGGAACTGAATTCCCAATAGGACATTTTCTGTTACAATGTAGGTTGTTGCAGGAGGCCTACATTCACACTTTGGTATAGGAAATGACATGTAGCTATGTACAGTTGTCATTCGTTGTGTGAGAATAAGTTATTATTTTGTTCTATATATTCTCACTTGTGGTGTGTGTGAGTGTGTGTGTGTGTGTGTGTGTGTGTGTGTGTGTGTGTGTGACTGCGACTGCCCTTTGTACATAGCTGTGGCTGACAATAAATAATGTTATTATGAATACATTTGCCTCCGAGTCCTGCATGAACTGTGCATAGACTGTATTTTAACATTGGTCATATGGTGATAGGTACTTGGAGAGATAACTATTTTCTCAGGTGGTACTTGGGGAAAAAATAAGGTTGAGAACCACTGGTCTATACGATAGAGAACGTTAGCGGATTCAACTGATATCGTCTCCGTGTGGACGGGGCCCAAGGCTCTTAACTTGGCTCTTAACTCTGAACACATTTTTTATGTTACACTTTCCTATATAGTTACTCTTACCTTTATAGATACAAAAAAGTTAGATTGATAATTTATTAATCCGAAATTTGGAAATTATTTTAAAAGTTTGGGAATTATTTATAACTATTATTCACTATACCCAGAGCTTATTACTTGATTTGAATCTATGAATATGCACATTTTATTTGAGTTTATGTTTAAATCAAAAAGTGAAGCTGCATGACACAAGATGGCTCCTACTTGTGTGTTTACCTTTAAGAGTTTCGGCGGCAGGATCATGGGCAGACCATGTAGTCTAGTTTTCACTGACCACTGGCTCACTCTAGTGGACCGTTGGCGAATTGCAAACTTGTGCTGCACAGAAAACATATTCGTTACAATTATCTAAGTCATTGTTAAACAAAACAAAAACAACAACAACAACAACAGTTTGCTGTATTAATAAAGTGGTAGCAATACGAAGTTTATCGTTAACTGTCTCTTTAAATCGACCGAGACGGAGGTCAGTATTTGGCAGGAAGTTAGCTAGCAGCTAACAGGAAGCCGAATTCTGAGGACTCATTGAGGCGCAGGAATTGGCAAAGAGCAACGAGTCCGGCATTGGTCGTTACAACTCCCCCTGAAACAGGTAACACAAACACAGTCTCTCCTTAACGCCTTTAAATGTTTATATTCTGCTGTATGGTTGTGTTTCCGTGGTTTCGTGTGTGTGTTGTGTTTCCATCGTGGCGGGTCAGTGCTCTGCATCAGTACAGAAAAGGCTCATGTGCTTAACGTTACTAGCAGAAGAGTTAAGTGGATTAATATCCATAACTCTTTATAAGAGTGCTGTTTAAAGTCACTGTCAGTCTGTGCGTTGTGTACCATGGTTACTTGTTGTGACCCAGGTAACTTTGACCTGCACCCTGTCTGCAGCTCTAATACGCTTGCAGAAGTTTTGGAACATATGCAGGATATATCCATTTGGGTTCTTGCGACACACACACACACACACACACACACACACACACACACACTCACACTCACACTCACACCTGAAAGTAGTTACGAGAATTGTCTCAACGATATTGCTGCATCAAGACCAGACATTACAATAAGCAGGAATACATGTTTAAACATCAGCCTGATATGAAAACAATCACAGGCCTTTTACTATTTTAAGGGCTATAGGAATTCAAGACGTACATCTAAAAAGAAGTACACACAATCAAACACTGCAGTTATGTGTGTGCCGTCCTGTCTATCAGCCAGCAGTTTCCTATTTATCAGTTTGAGTCACAGAGGGAGACATGAGTTTAAAAATGATATTAATTACTCAAGAGGACCCTGTACTTCAATGCAGTGGCCTGCTCAATAGTAGACCCGCTCAAAAAGGTCCTAAGGGAAGAGGGTCAGCCATGGACCCTTCAGACTGGAGCCAAGTGGGTCTGCAAATAATTATCGATCGATTCATTTTTTTGCACCGTAGATAATCATTATTATTGTAAATATTGCAATAGTAAAAATTGAATTACTACTCGCAAAATTATAATTACTGCACAACATAAAGTAGGTTAGCTCTCTAAAAAACAAATTAATCATCAAGGAAACTCTTAGATCTCTGGCTCCCCCCCAACAATGTTCGTACAAATGTGTTTAAAAAGAAAATAATGTGAACAGGACAATGAGCAAAACTCATATTTGAGTGGATTATAAATCAACTAATGGGCAAATCTTTGACTGATTAACGCTGCAGCATCATCATCGTCTTCATCTTCCTCACCGCAGGAGGAACAAGCAGCCAGCCACCTGTGTTTGAAGACGGAAGCCGCTATGGTGAGTAATTGAGAGAAAAACCATAGAAAGACAGGAAAATACCAAATGTTACTTTTAACAATGTTTCTGGAGAAAGTTGACCATCTAACCACTTACACATGACATGGACTAAAGTCTGGCCTCAAACTCATTCCCTTTCTCTCCTAACCCCCCCTCTCTGTGGCAGTCTTCAGCGGTGGATCTCAAGACTAAAGAGGAGAAGGATGCCGAGTTGGACAGACGGATCGAAGCCCTGAGGAAGAAGAATGAAGCTCTGGTCAAGAGGTATCAGGTATGGAGGACTGTTTCACACAAACGCTCACTAAATGTATCTTTGCATCTACCCACAGTTATTGATACATCTGCACTACACTCATATATATATATATATATATATATATATATATATAGGGGATTATCACTGACTTTTTTTTTTAAACCAGAAGCTTTTCTTCACAATAACTGCAAAAGATTGGCTTTTACTTTACATATCTGTGGGGGAAACTTCTGAAGCAATTGGAATCAGGACTCAGGGAGACACGAGGAGAGCTGGAGCTTTGATGGCAAACACTGATGGTTTATTTGGAGCTTCGGCAGGAGAATTCACAACACATGTCACGGGTCACAGTTTGACCACACGGTTGAGATGCCACAATCAATTCTGAATAACTCTACCCCAGACGCATGTATTTAGCTAGTTCTGAGAGAATAATCAACATTGTGCATAACAAGATAGAATGATAACACCTCTATCAGCTGACGCCAACAGTCAGGAACGGGGAGAAAGAACACTGAGAGCACAGCAGCCAAGGTTACAGGTGTGTGTGCTCAGTCAGGACAGTTTGAACTGATACACTGGGTCTAAGTTATGGGCCTTGGGAAATATTTCCCCAACAATATATTACCATTCAATTGGTTTACGGTTTGAATTCAATTATATGGTCAATCCACCAATTTACTAAATAGGGTGGTGAGCTCATTCAATGTTTTTCACCATATCTGCACTGATTCAAATCCATCAAAATGACCCTAGAGTGATGTGTAATTAATAGGTACAAAAATAATATTTTGGTTATGGGGTTTGAACATACATGCCAAAAATGTGCTCAGGATTAGCCTTGATAATATATTTTGGACAAATCTGTAGTCTGATATCACTCATGTTGTCACCTGATATCAATAGGAAATTGAAGAAGACAAGAAGAAAGCAGAGCAGGAGGGCATCGCCGTGACAACCCAGCGTAAACCCCGCCCACACGAGCCGGAGGCGGACAGGAGGAAGACGGAGAAAGAGAACTTCACCGTCACAGTCGACCTCTCTGAGCAGACAGGGGTAAGACATGATGTGCACCTGATTTAAATCATGCCACCTCTGCAGAGGGACAATTAATCATGATCACATTCATCCCATAAAACTATATAATATAAAAACGATATAATATGACAAACCATGATTCTGCCTGCTTCTTGTGTTACATATCTCGGGTGGTAGAAACATTTGGAAAACATAGGTTTTTACAAACATACTTCAAAACGAAGTGCCAGATTATAGTCACGTAAGACATTTGATATGTGTTGTTTTCCAGCTTTAAGCACATTCATGTTAAAAAGGCTGAGTTTTTGGTTAAATACAAGCATCATCATCAGAAGAACTATGAAAAAACTACTTAATATGAGAAAAGATGAAACGGTGACACCTGCAGGAACATGTGGTTAAAATAACAGCAAAAAGTGATATTCCAATGTAAAAATACAACAACGTATTGTAGAAGAAAGTTGTAGAAACAATAGAAATAAGAGCAAAATATGTCTTAGTATAGTGAAAATCTTATTTTTTGTTACACAAACTATTCTAAATATATGATGAACAAAATGAGGTTATCTGTATGATGCCTGGTGGAATGTATTTGACAGAAATGTTGCTTTTGTAATTGTTGGAAATAGTGGGTTATTTTCTTTAAATAGAAAAAATCTAATGGATATCACAAAAGGCTGAGCTGCAGGGATGGAATAAGAGCGTAAGTGTGGGAGAACAAATGTATTTGGAAAGCAGCTTTAATCTTCATTATGTGTTTAGTTTCATAAATTATACATCTGTTTGTTTTAAAAATGTCAAACATCATGCCAAATCAGTTTAGCCATCTAGCAATCCTGCTCAAGTACTATTACCGCAAATGTGATACTGTGTAAAGAAGCATCTATTCAAGTGATACCACATTTGATTATACTTAATGATTCCATGTAAGAGTTTTTGAGAAAAGGGTTTTCATCAGTTTAGTGTGTGCCATCCAAATTGCTCTGCCTATTCTTGATTCGAATTCGAAACAATTGTGGCAATGTTCCTAAAACAGAGCTGATGACTGCTCCTGTTATAGCCTCAGAATGTTGTATGGTAGATTGAGCAGCAGAGGAGTCATCAAGTTAAAGTACGTTCCTGGAAAACAGGCTCTGTAACCGGTTTATCTTCATGTCCAGTCTGCCGTTCAATAGGGATGGGCATTTCAATCTGATCATCACTGGGAAATATAATAGATTCATTCTTTGAAGATCTTTGCTGTTAATAGAGTGCAACAATATAAAGAGAGAGGAAGAGAGTTCCGGCACCTAACAGCTGTCTGGGCCCAGCAAAGTCTCCTTTAAGGTGGAAACAAGGGAAGCAGCTGAATAAATCTTGCACATTCTGAGAAGGTGTAGAAAAAGAAAATCTAAAACAGTATGCATGCAATTATTGCAATAGTTGTGATAGAATAATACATTTGTAGGGACATTATGTCTGACATGTGTGCAG